CATGGTAAACTCATTCAATAATCTTCATTTTAATGTTCACCCACAGCCCGCACAGGAAGAAGCTTATGAACAGTTTGCCTCATGATCAATTAACTGAAAAACAAAGAACTAAGCAGAAAAAGAGCTTGATGTCCAAACTGATAAGGGTCACAGACCTCTGAGGATCTCTAAGGCTCTTTATTTAATATGGTTTTTATGTTTTTATTAGGAAATGACCATGCAAGCAACAAATTGTTGCAGTCCCATTGTGTAAAAGAAACAGCAAAAAAAATTATAGAGTGTCTGTAAAAAACACAGATGAATTGATATACCATATAATATTTTTGATGTAACAGTTTCCACCCATGCAATTTTAGGGACAGTTTTAATAGACCAAACAGATTTAGCAGTCCAGTCAAACCATCCATCGAGAATCTTTATATTCAAGGAGAGATAATGAAAACTCCATACAGAAAGAGCTCAGGGTAAGATTCAAACACAAGACTCTCATGTTGTGAACTTGCTCTAATTCAACAATGCATTTCTCTTAAGTAAAAACATAACATACGTGTATATTTATACAAAAAACTGCTTGATTTCTATGTCCCTTCTTGTAAATTTAAAGTTATAATATTTTCATTGAAGCCAAAGTGGAACTAAAGTCAAATAAAGCTGACTCTGGGGACATAAACTAAACTTGTTCATTATGACAAATCACAATAAAAATCACCTATTAACCTGTTTAAATGTGGCCTCTGGGAACAAATGGAGCAAAGAATCCCACCTGAGAATGTTTCTTTTTTCCTTTTCTTTTCTAGTGTTGTTGCAGTTTTCTAAAGCTCTTAGAGCAATGGCATTCCAACAGGTAGATAAAAAAAAAACACAATGAAGCAAAGGCGGCAGAAGAAATTGTTTTTCCTGCTTTAATGGACAATAAACTTTGATGTCAGTTGGATGAGATACAAACATGTGAATTCTGAGATTATAACCTGCATGAAAAAAAGTGTAGATGTAAATTTGTCAGGTCATTACACTTATTATGTCCCTGTATGGTAATGTACAGAAACTGGACCCAGAATCCAAACCAGTACAGGTCGGTGATGTTTAAATAAAGATTTATTTAGAAATAAAACTAGCAAGAGGAGACGGGGCACGCTGGTCGCTCTTAGACAGGAAACCGCCTGCAACAGAGACAACAAGTTAGTGATCAGCTGATGGTAACGGCTTAAGAGTGAGAAGCTGGATCACTAACCTTACTGTGGGTCTTATGTGCCTGGATATCGGTGAACAGGTCTTGTGGTGGAATATTATTTTTGGTCGGGCCTGGGGAAGGAAATCGTTGGGCAGCCGATAGGCAGGCAGATACTCCATTAGGGGTTTCTCCAGGGGCGTTCTCCAGAGAGGTCCAAGTCCGTAAACAGAGAGGCAAACCTTCCAGCGAAAGTACAGGTAGGGGATCTAAGTTTGGGGGGGGGGGGGGGGGGGGGGGTGAGGGGGTCCTAGTTCGGTCCAGATCTGGTAACAGGCAGGCTCAGATATATTTCATGGCTTATGCAGAATCCAGTACTCTTCAATTGTTTGTACTCCATTTGTCCATAAGAGTACACAGATTAAAGGTAATCCAGCATATTCATAATAAAACCATTCCATGATGAGAAAATTAGCCACATAATCTCCGTTTTTCGAAGTAAGAAAAGTAATCTGGTCATAGCAAATGCTTAGCATCTGGCTAATAAGACTTACTCCCTCAAAACATTTGCCTGCAATGTTTAGTATGTTTCTTTACATCATCTTCTTACCTACAAGACAAAAATGTCCACATCTTTGTATGACTCGATTTGACTCAGGGACAGCCGATGAAGTCTCACAAGCACTCTTTGCCTGTCAGCCAATGTTGCACCGAGTAGAGCAATATTACGCCTCATAGAGTCCTGCTATTATTGGTTAAAACCACATGGGCTATTTGGTTTACTAACTGAATCCCTAAGGCCAAAAAAAAAGGGAAATTCAGCGTAAAAAAGGCACTGGGGCTTATTTAGCCTGAAAAGCAGCAGTTTCACTATATTTTTATAAACTTTTTATGTTATTTTAGCTTTATAAATGATACATTTTATTATTTACACTGATTCTGGAAAAAAAAGGTTGAAAAATACTTGCCTCATAATTCATCATCAAAATGCTTCAGTGTTATTCTATGGGTCAAAGAGTTCAGCAAAATCATTTTGTACAATGTGGCACATTTAGAGGGGTTTGAAGACACTGGAGACACCAAAAGTTCAAAGCCCCACAGCTCTAGAAGTTTTGAAGCTAGAGGCCTGACATTTTCAGCATTTGTGGTGACATGATGTAGAAAACATGTAATGCAATGAGACCTGCATTTTCTCAAGCATGTCTTCATTACTGTTGTTCAAATACCTATTATTTTCGAGAATAAAAAAACAACTTTAAGTCATGTTTGAGCTGATGCAGCCTAGGCTGTGTTTTAGTCACACTATTTTAATTTATATTTTCAGGAGGTGTTAGCTTTCAAATGATGTATCACACATATAATGTGGGCTTACAGTTCCTCGGTTATTTGCTATTACATTTGGGTATGCAAATGGAATAGGCAAGGATTACTTTTATAGCTTTTAAAAAATAAAATGTATATTCTGTAATTAGGTTATAAGTATTGAAGGTCAATAAGGGAAAGAGTGGAAAAATATGAAACTCTACTGTCAGCATTCAAAAAGTGCTTCTTTAGATTTCTCAGTGGACCACTTGGAAACAGGTTTTTATTGGCTCTGTGACTGAAACAAGCTGTCTGTATTTTACGACCAAAGTTTTCAGTGGATGTGGACAATGGGATGAAAGAACGGTAACTATGTCCCCCCCCCCCCCTTTTCCTCATTCCTTTTCATTTGCAAAGACTAATAAAAGGTCATATAAAAAAAAAGATACATGTTTCTTCCAACTACTTGACATAGCAAAACCACACCCCACTTCTCACACTTTCCTTGTAAAGAGACCTCCTGGAGTAAACTGACAGTGAATGTGTCTGTGTATTAGAGCCCCAGGGTTTGTCCAAGTTTCCACTCTTTTAAACGCCTGTAATTTGAAGGGAACGTAACACTCTCAAAATTACTTTTATGCTCTCGTCTGCAACCAATCTGGACAGACAATTTCTGCCCTGTGAGATAAGGGGTGCAAGACAGAAATAGACTCATTCTTGACATAAAATAGTAAGCTCAGAGTCTATTTTGTAGTATCAGTACTCCAACTTTTGCTCTCTGTTTGGTTAATTTCTAGCTGCCAACCAGAAAATACATACAAAAAAGACACTATAAAGTTGTTTTAATTGCACATTTTTATGGTGTATTACTCGGAGAAGGGGTATATATAATAAGCATTCTGATTGAAGTTTCAGGAACGTCTATTATCAGTCACAGCATCTGTCTTTCACGGTAAACATCATTAGGGAAGCTAGAATATCTCTGACTGGGGCAGCAAACACCTGATATGTGCAAAGCATAAAAATCCGCTGCTTAGTTAAAGGCTAAAGATGTTCATACAGACAAGCAGAAAATTCCTGTTACACAAGATTTGTCTGTTGACCAAAAATTATTTATTATTGGATTTAGGTTACATAGATTATATATAATTTTTGAAAGCAATTATATTTTTATATATTTTTTTTCTATTTCGGGGAGCCTTTCACTCAATAAGGGAACCTGAAAGCTCATTACGGCGCTCTGGAGGGCTGGTGAAATTTTACTTGGCAAAACCAAGGGCAAAAAATGTGTCCTTGGATGGTAAAGGTTGCTGACCCCTGTAGTATTGGAAAATATAAAGTTATTTTGTTTTCTTTGAAAATGTGGATTCTCCTTCCTCCTCTGTGGTTGCAACCAGAGCTATGGCAAGAATTCTTGAGTTAGCAGACAGGGTAACATAGCAATAGTCTTATTCCAAATTAGGATTCCTGTAGCACCAGTGTGGTCATGGTGGGTTTGTATGTCAGGCATAATGTACCAGTGCCACTTTTTCAATTAGGTTTCTGCATGCAACCAGGATCCAGATTCCCTCCCATTATTTTAAAGAAACGTCTCACTGAAGACCACTGTTCACCCTGCTAAAAAATAAATGTGCTAAGTGTACTAAAATTTAGCATACTTTTGTGTACTTGAAGGCACACTAATCATTACTATACTTTAAGTGTGTTTATGATTAGTTAACTTGAAGGATGCTATTTTGGAACAACTAATTTTGTACTAAATATATTTTAATTGTAATTAAATTGTGGACAAGCTCAACTTGAAGTGTATTTAGTGTACTTTGATGTGCTAAAGTGGAACAACTTAAAGTATATTTTGTATACTTTAAGTATATGAGTTTATATGTACTAATATATGCTTAATTAGTCAAATTAAAGTGCACTATGGTTGTATTATAACTACATTAAAAATGATTTGTTAGTGTCTTAAAAATATATAAGCTTTATACTTTTAATATACTCTTACTGTGGTAATAATATGCTTAATTATACTGTTGGCTTATTCCAATTACTAAAAAAGCATACTTTGCAGTTAATAGTAAATATACTTTATCATTACATTGCTATACTACTTTCTACCTTGCACATTCTTGCAAATGTATTAACAGTATACTAAATGCTGAAAGACTTGTGGATATACTTCCGTGCAGATGAAAAAATATACTTTAATGTATTTGAAACATGTCCAAATTATAGTACATTACAAATAATATAACAACTTGTACTATCTCAGAATGTATAAACATTTACATATCGACTTTAACCATTTTCATTATAAAACTTACAACACATTTTCAAATATTGGTACTTTAGTACACTTTGTAGAAATATGTCAATGTCAGGCAGCAGACCTAAACATTACAAATAAACTTTAAACACAGAGGAATACTGAACAATGAAAAACAACATTCCTTATTATTGCACCCCTAAACGCTCGCACCATACAAAAACACGCCCACCACACATTATTTTCCTTTTTTTGGCTGAACTGCTGCTCATTGTTACATTTTCGTCTGATGGCCGTGCGCACATCAGAGACACTTGTCTACGGAAACTCCAGAAGAACAGCGTCTGTTAACCAAACAGAGAGATACTGTAAGTCACGCAGCATATTCATAGTATTTTTGAACAGTACATCAGAAAAGTCTGACAAATTGTATCAGTATGATATACCAGGGTCCATAAGTGCACCAGAAAAAGAAATTGTCCATTTCAGTTGAATTTAAATAAATCTGATGCATCAAGTGGTTTTATCAGATCTGATCAAAAAAATTAAACAAAGTAACAACAAAAATTGTCCGAGATCTCAGAAAAGAAAAAAATTATGAATCCGCAGAAAGAAAGGGAAGAAAAATCCTTAAGTTTCCTTGTTTTTCCTACCACCCTCCAGGGAACCGGATGGCATTCGCATTGGGAACATCCTGCATCAACATCTCTGGTAGAGTCTAGTCCAGTCCATACAATGAACCACTCAGCTGTAACAGCAGGTTCTGCAACTATGTAAAAAAAAAAAAAAAAAGCCTGCACACAAATGTGCAGAGCAATTACTTCAATTGGAAAATAAATCATGTAATCACCATAATATAAATTGGTTTTACCACATTTATACAGACAAAAATATATACATAAAGTAAAATTATCAATTTACATGTGGTTCAATGTCTAAGACATCATTATGGTCAGTAGTCAATACTTGTATCTGGAAAAAACAATCCAGGAGACCTATGAAGGGTTAATTTTACGTTAACCCCTTGTGGGGGTTTTACAGCAACATCACACACGATGTAGCTAGCTTGCAAGTGCATTTTTTTTTTTAGAAGAGCACATGGGGGCGTGTTAGCCTCCTTCTCACTGTGCTAATGCATTCAATAAATCAAAACTAGCTAGTAAAATTACATATCTTACAAAACATTATATCCTGACTGGTTTTACATCTCAATATATATATATATTTCATTCACAGGTTCATGTGAACTCACCAGGATATTCTTCAACACAATAATACAGCAAATCTTCCTGCTCAACCGGTTACATCTCCTGTTTCTACAATACAAATATAATAATCAAAATCGCGTTTTATACAGATATCTTAAGATTTCAAAACCAAATGGGAATGTTTTGAAAGTTACCTCTCTCCATGCAGACCGAGGCCTTAAAAGAAAAGCATGCTGGCTCTGAGCAGGGAGGAGCCGTGACTAACTGCTGTGCAGGTGTGGTGCATTCAAAGTCTATGGGAATTCTGATATCAGTACTGAACCAAAAACTCCCAAGACTAAAATTCTTGGGGAGCTACTACTTTACAGACATCAAGGCCAAACAACCTCCACATATCACTCCTATACGCATGAAGTGCTGTCAGCGACTTTTAAATATGTGCACTCACCAATTGGTCTTGTTTGCAGTAGCCCTGCTTTGATCCATTAAACAATACTAATGAAATGTTCTTTTTTGAACACTTGAGACAATTGTAATGTGTTAAGTTTATTTCTTTTGCATGTGGCCAGTATTAACTTTTCTGTTGCAATGTGGGTTATGCTATTTGTTAGATCATAATGTAGCACTGCACCAGCTTTAAACCACTTGCTTTTCAGCAGAACACACATTTTTGTGCACCTGTACCTTTGAAGTGAACATTTAGTGTTTTGTTCAATGTGGTTTTGTGTGTAAGATGTATTGTATCATATTTCTTTTTCAAAACTTATTAAACATTACATAACAACTGCAATAATTGCTATCTGTGTACTTTACACACAGCACAAAATTGCAAAATAGGGTTTAAGTGCATTTTTGTAGTTATACTATTGAACACATTCTACTAGTTCTAGGACATTTTCAGTAGTGGCTCAGGTTATCCTGAGCTATCTCTATAGTTATGCTGCTATAGGCTTAGACTTTTGGAGGACATAGGGACCCCCATTTCATCATTCTGCTTCATTCTCTCTCTGTTCTCCTATTCTGCAGAATCTGTTAGTTCAATCTCTAACCTTCTGCTCTCTCTGCTTTTCCTCAGAGTAGCTTTGCCTCGTCTGTTCCTGTTTGGCTGTGACGTCATCCTGGAAAAAAACATCAGCTGTGCTGCTTCTATCAACACCCTTGTTAATAGATGTTGGAGATCGGCCTGTTTTCCAGTGTGGTCCTGTTTCTCTGACCGTGACTGAGTGGATGTGCTCTCTTCGTCCTCTGGCATGGGAGCTGCCTTGGAGCTCGTCTGCCTGGCTGTGTGTTTCCTGGACGGGGCCGCCTTTTACAGCTGCTTTTTGTATCTCTGCTTCTGTCTCCTTGAACCCCAGTCGGCCTCGGCAGATGGCCGCTCACACTGAGCCTGGTTCTGCTGGAGGTTTCTTCCTGTTAAAAGGGAGTTTTTCCTCTCCACTGTCGCTACAAGCATGCTTAGTGTGGGGGATTGTATTTGAGTCAATGAGTCAATGCAATCAACTGGTTTTCCTTAGATAGAAAACTTTGTATCAATTTGACTGTATGATCTGGTTGAACTGTAAAGTGCCTTGAGATGACATGTGTTGTGAATTTGGCGCTATATAAATAAACTGAATTGAATTGAATTGAATTTCAAAAAGAATTACCTGAAGTACAAGCGTATATAACTTCACTTCATAATTAGATTCAAATGTAACTTAAAATGCACTCAAACTTAATATTACAGTGTCGATATTAAAATGTGTACTTTTAAAATATGCTTTCAATGTACGTTACAATGACAATATTGAGCATACAATTTAAAATATAGCAAAAATATATGTAAAAACAAATTTAAAATAAGTACACTTTAGAAATTACACATAACTTTCACTTAAAGTATACTTTTTTAATAATATATTTCTATAAAGTGTAACATAGTGTACCTAATTATGTTAAAGTGTGTTAAAAGTATTAGCATGAAAGCGTAATGTTAGTATACTTTTTATATATTTACAAAAAGTACAATTTGTCTAAGTACATTTTCAGTAAACTATAGGAAATATGAATATACTTGAAATACAATAAAGCACTTTTTTTTTTTTTTACCAGGGCATGCTATACTGTATATAGGCTTTAAATAACATCTCTGCAAATAATACAGAGACACTCTGCATTCATATTGCACCACAGAGCTCATCTCTGAAACTCTGCAGAAAAAACCCATGCTATAATAGATTTTTTAAATTCACGGTGCAATCTTAGTGAGATGTAAAGGGACCTTAATAAGCATAACCAGAAGCATAACCAAAAGTCCGTAACTATAGTCTGCCTGAAGCACAAAAAGTCTGGACGTTTTACACCTGCAACCATGGAAGCCAGAGTTGCATTGCTCAGTCTGTACATAGGGTCCATAAAGGAGATCATAAAGACATTTGGCACATACTGTAAAGGTACCTTTATTCAGCTTTAGTGATTTTACCACTGACAGTGTTCAAATGGTCTATAGTAGCAAACTATACCAGCTATTTCATCTGTCTGCTAGATTGTTTTCTAGGTTTTTAGTATCCAGCTGTTTTTAGCATACAGCTGTTTCACTTTTTTTAGAAGGAAATCTTTTTTCTTTTTCTTTTTTTTTTCAGGGAGTCCATTGAAAACATTTACCCAGCTTCCTGATAGGTAACGTACAAGTATATCTAAAAGATGTAGCGTGTACATGTCTGTTCCTTTTTATTGTGATCCTACCCTTGATAGCCAGTATATATTTACTGACATAATACAGGATCTTTAGTGAAAAAGTTAAACACAAGGAATACTAGAAATAAATCTTATGCTAAAGTAAATTAATTTATTTAAGCATACTTGTGGATTATTTTTTATTTAGAGCCTCATAATGTGACAAATTATGTACTAATTTATTTGTTATTACTTCCCCTTTCTCACAGCTCCCTTACATTTATATGTAAGGGGTGTTTTTTTCTACTGCCTGTAGACTCAGTTTAAATACTTTTTGCCAACCTCAAGCTGCTTTGTTTGATTAGGAGATGAAATGTTGTAACCGGTAACCTTATTGAAAATTTTGCTGAATCATTCTCTAAGAGAGGTGAAAGCAGATTGAAACCAGTTTGATATTTAAATTGTAAATAAACACCTTCTAAAATAATGGTGAAGATAAATATCCAAATTGTTTTTGTTCTGTAAACATCACAAAATTTGATAACTGGAGCCGTTTCCCCACCAGCCGCTCAGCAGATACCTTCTGAATAAACATTATTCTCCAGGCTTTTTCTTTTAATCTCTAACCAAAGGATTATGCTCTGTGATTGTCTGAATACAATGAAGCGCTTTAGTATCTGTGTGTATTTATGTGTGCAAGATATTTTTTTGCAAATGTGTGATCTACGGCAGATGGTGATGGCAGATCCCTGCTGACATTTTATTTTGGGGGCTCTTTCCAGCTCTGTGTGATGGTTCTGAGTGACATGATTTCGGATCAAGACTCTGGCACAGCAGCAGTACGTACGACAAGAGAACTGGGTTTATTTTAAGGGTTTTTATTGTTCAGACTGGAAGCAGAGAAAACAGGAAAATCCAGAGCGGCGTCTCACTGTAAAACAGGTCAGGTGATCGGTATGAGTACCAGCTGATGTTGAGATGAACAGTGAGGCCAGACTTACTTCTCAGGGCTTGGAAACAGGTTGAGGGGGAGCAACAGTGTCCACAGAGAGGGGGGAAAGAAGACCTTGGAGTTATCAGATTCTTTAGGCGTTGGAGGGTGGACAGGCAGGCGAGTTCAGCTTTTGCAGATCTTGAAAGACAGCTCTTGGGGAGGAGTGGAAAGCACCGTTGAGGGAGGAACAGGAGCCAGCCTTCAGCAGGAGGAAAACTAAAGAAAAACAGAGACAAGACTGGTAAGTAAGACTATCAGAACAAGTTCAACTTAACTTGGAGGTCTTGAAGAGGGACCCAGTTACCACTGGTATAGGTAACCATCTGTCATCTGCCTCAGGAAATCCACTCCTCTAAATACTGCTTGCTTGATTGTGGCTGATGAGTAACAGCTGGGAGCCTCAACTGCCTGGCACACCCTGAAAATGAAGGGGAGAAAACAGAAACTCCAAACCAAAGCAGCTCTGTGAACACAACAGTACCCCCCCTTTCAACGGACGCCACCCGGCGGACGACCAGAGGAAGAGGCAGAGCGACGCTCAAAATCCGAGATGAGGGAAGGGTCCAGGATGAAAGAGCGTGGCACCCAGGAACGCTCCTCAGGACCATAACCTGGCCAATCCACCAAGAACTGGTGCCCACGCCCCCTAGGGCAAACATCCACGATGCGCCGCACCATAAAAGCAGGATGTCCATCAACGATCCGGGCGGGTGGAGGGGGCTTGGCAGGAGGGCACAAGGCACTTGACAGAACTGGTTTGATTTGTGAAACATGAAACACAGGATGAATGCGCAGATGAGAAGGAAGGTTGAGACGGACGGTTGTGGGACTGATAACTGTTTGGATGGTGAAGGGTCCCAGGAACCTAGGGGAGAGTTTCTTTTTGCAACCTTTGAGGGGAAAGTCCCTTGAGGAGAGCCAGACCTTTTGACCCACCGAGTAGTCTGGAGCTGGGATGCGTTTACGATCTGCAGTTCTTTTGTTCTGTGTTGCAGTGCGATTGAGTGCAGCCTTGGTCTGGTTCCAAATACGATGACAGTTCTTAAGATGAGATCTGACTGATGGAAGAACTGTGTCCGGGAAGGAGGAAGGGAGTAGGGAAGGTTGGAAACCCAGAGATGCTTCAAAAGGAGAGCACCCTGTGGCAGCTGAAATATGGGAATTGTGGGCATACTCTACCCAGGGTAGATGTATGCTCCAGGATGATGGATTGGAGGCACAAATGCAGCGAAGAGCATTTTCCAGCTCCTGGTTCAGCCTTTCACACTGACCGTTAGTCTGTGGATGGTAACCAGAAGAAAGGCGGGATTTAGCTCCAAGAGCGGAGCAGAAATCTCTCCACACCTGGGAGACAAATTGTGGCCCCCGATCTGAGATTATTTCAGTGGGTATGCCATGGAGACGGAAGACGTGGAAAAAGAACAGACGAGCAGTTTCAGAAGCAGATGGTAGTTTAAGGGCAATGAGATGACAGGATTTTGAAAATCTGTCGATTATGGTCAGAATGGTTGTCTTATGGTTAGAGATGGGCAGACCAGTGACAAAATCAATGGCAATATGAGACCACGGTCTGCTGGGAATAGAGAGAGGTTGTAGCAGCCCTGCGGGAGGACGGTGAAGGTTCTTGTTCTGGGCACAGTTGGGGCA